CCTATATGTATGTGTGTTTCGTTGGTAAAACTTTAGATTGATCTGAATCTAGGAGGAATTCATGTATGTTGCTTGTGAATTCAGGAGTTGGAAAATCATGCCTTCTGCTTCAGTTCACCGACAAGAGGTTTCAACCGGTGCATGACCTCACCATTGGTGTCGAATTCGGGGCCAGGATGATCACCATCGACAACAAACCCATCAAACTCCAGATCTGGGATACGGTCTCTTTCTCCTTTGATTTGTCTCTTATTTACTTCACTCTAACAAAATCCTATCGGCTAACTTGATCATTCGCAGGCTGGTCAAGAATCCTTTCGGTCTATTACAAGGTCCTACTACAGAGGGGCTGCCGGAGCATTGCTTGTCTATGATATCACAAGGTACCATCTTCTTTTCTTTTCTTTTTTCTTATCACTAATCAAGAATCGACTTGATCATGCAACCAATTTCTTCTTTTTCCTACTAGTTGAGCATTGCTTTTCTTCTTAGAGACCTCAAATATCCCTACCAGAACTAGATTTGTATTTGTCACTCCCAATATTTGCAGGAGGGAGACATTTAACCATCTAGCGAGCTGGCTAGAGGATGCAAGGCAGCATGCTAATGCTAATATGACCATAATGCTCATTGGGAATAAGTGTGATCTTGCCCACAGAAGGGCTGTCAGCACAGAGGAAGGAGAGCAGTTTGCAAAGGAGCACGGTCTTATATTCATGGAGGCCTCTGCCAAGACTGCTCAGAATGTCGAGGAGGTAAACCCAATGTGCTTCTTTCTTTAGGCTTAAACGTTTTATTATTCACATGCTTTCTCTACCTGCTCCCTCCAGTCATTAGGCTAGTTATAAATGCAATATAATAGAATACAAGAACTAGATATAGGCGACCGGAGACAGCGTACCTTTAAGAGAGGGGGGGGGGGGAGAGAGAGAGGAACATGTATATTGGGTTTACAAGGAGAAGAGCCACAAAACCCTTCTTCCTACTTGTTCCACTCTTCACACACCAGTAGAAATACTAAATCATGATTTGGATGTGTCTTGTGTTTTTGAATGTTTGCTAGGCATTCATTAAGACAGCGGCAACAATATACAAGAAGATTCAAGATGGTGTGTTTGATGTGTCAAATGAGTCGTATGGAATAAAAGTTGGATATGGAGGAATTCCGGGGCCATCAGGGGGAAGAGATGGATCCACATCGCAAGGAGGAGGATGCTGCGGCTGAGATGGGGAAGGTGTCTGTCTATATCATCATGTAAAAGGAATCACATATGATATAGCAAAACTGTCTCTTCTTCTTTCTATAGTTGTAAATCGTAAGTGACGTGTGTTGTGGTGGCTTATTGACAATACGTGTATGCATATTCATTTTCTTCTATATTAAGATGTGTTTTGCGTATTCAAGGATCTGATGGAGGTAGTGCAGTCAGTGTTCACCAAAGAAAATGGTAATGGGTGCCTAATATGTGGTTCCATTTGCCAAGTCGCAGGACACTGCGATTTCACCAAACATTAAGTTGCTGCGTAAGGCATGGATCAGAAACGAAACAAACCCCGATCGCACCAAACATTAAGTTGCTGCGATTTCAAACTAGATATGACATTAAAATAAGATTTCAACTCTATATAGCCATATATATATGGAGCATAAATGATAAATCCATGAGATAGTTGTCAATATTTAAAAGACAATAGATACTTTATGTAAAACTTGGAGATAACATCTGTTAAATAGTTTGTAATCGAATTTTTAAAATAAATTGTTCACCTTTCTTGTTTTTCATTCGCTTTGGTGTGTATATGTATACAAAAAATTATTGCCACAATTTGCTACCTTGTATTTCAACCAAATGACTCGTATATGCATTTGAATCCTTGGTTACTTCCAGCTTCTAACTCATATTTCAACCAAATGACTCGTATATGCATTGCGGTTACGTAATGACAATTGGTTTTTATATATTTTGGCACGCAAGAAACCAACCATATTCCTTTTCATGGCTGTTTCAACTGTCACTTGGATAGGTGAGCATTGTAATTTATAAAGTCAACATCTCCAACGGCTAGACCACAATAATGAAGCATCAGCTCAGCAAGCTCATTCAAGTTACTGCGACGATTTCAACTCATCTTTCATCTGATCAATCGGCTAGATTCCAAACACACAAAGCCAGTGAGTTGATAAAACAAAACAATCAAGGCGAATTCTAATCAAAGTCTTTCATGGAATTAGCAAATTTTGCGTCAAGTCTTCCAGTTTTGCTCTTTTTACTTGGAAACAAGAGGGAGTTCGGCTCATAGTCGTTCCAAAAGAAAGAAAACCAACGAAAAGCAATTAGAAGGTGGAAGTAAGCAAGGATTCAAAGGCAGTTTCACCATAACAAGAAAAAGGTAAAGATCAAACCAACCGACTGTGCAGAACACTTGTGTCCACTTCCCGCGTACGCATCTTGATCACACACCCACGCAACACAATCAACCTGACATTGGATACCGAGTCGAAGATTAATAAAACATGGAAAGAGACTTGTGGAAATATAATAGAGGAAGTTTATGTAATTAGAAACCTCCTGAGCATCTGGTCCCAAGACTTTCCAATCTGATCCGACCCTTAAGGTCAAGTGCCAACTTATTGGCTAATCTAGAGATACCCGTGAAGAGGGGGTCATCCTTGGATTCGCCTGCAAAAAAAAAAAAATACAAAATAGGCAAAACATTGGCTTGTGAAAAAGAAAAACATGAGGAGAACATTAGTTCAATTTAAGAAAAACATGAGGAGACAATTTAAGAAACATTAGTTCCATTTAAGAAAAACATGAGGAGACAATTGGCTTGTGAACTCTGGAACACAAACCTCTAATAATAACTTGTTCATAGTCTTTCCATCATAATTGCTGGGCCTAAGCCTGCGGTCCAAACGGTCTACGACCTGGCGGTCAGCGGCCCGAGAACAATGGAAGCCCAACTCAAACAGTAACCGCAGTCTGGTTTAGCCTGAGTCAGATTCGGTAACTACGGTTAATAAAACCTAGTATGTACCCTCAAAACCTTGTATTTATAGGGGAATAAGCTGATGTGACGGTGGTTCATCTTCCATTCTCTGAGGAAAAGTACAAGGGACCCATAGCATAACCGTTCAGGTCTCTAACTCCGACAGAGAACTCGCCGGAAGGCCACCGCCGACCGGGAAACACCGCAAACACTCACATTATATACTAGCTCGTAGCGAACAAGTAGCCCGGGATCTGTCCGGTCTACTACTCTCTTTCTAGTCTATAGTAATCAGGTAGATCGAGATCTGTCCGGACTATCTATAGCGGTCTTCTTTGTAACACTCATTTCGGACTCGATTTCTAATACACGAAAACCCTCCGACCTCCTATCTACTATAAATTCATTGTTCGATCTTTGGGTTAAAACAATAATTTGGATGACTCAGTTGGTTTCGTTTCTGGACTCCAACGGCAACGCCTCCCGTTTTGTTGTCAATATCTATCTTTTCTTAGCCTCTATGGAACCTCTGATTTCCCACAAGAGTAAGACTATGCGTTTTTCGAGGGAAGTAGTCATCTTGTTCTGCATGGGCCTAACACCTACACCTACTACAATGCATTTGTGGCAACTTTGACACTCTTGCTGCTGCTCTCACCAAGCTTGGTTATGCTCAAATGATATTTTTTTTTTTTTGCGAAATAGTAAATATTATATATCATGATATGTTTAGGTAATGCAAGAGAGCATTTCCTATACAAAGAGTAACTTTGGCAAAAAAAGGAAAAACAAAATTACAACAATAGATTTGGTTAAGACTTTGGCTATGTTATCGAATCAACAAAGCCATGAGGTTTCGCCATCGCTTTCTATGCCTTCTAGAATTAATCGTGTTGCGAACTTCATTGAAGATAGCAGCAAATTGTTCCGTTATTTCCAGATGTGAAAGATGGCTACTCCCAACACGACTTTCCTAAGAAGTGATGGTCCTGCATCAGAGGAAAGCTTTGTCCATGACAGCAGCTCCGCCCAGCTCGTGATTTGGGTGTGAGATGGAGACAGCCTTGAGAAGATTAACCTCCAAATGTGACCTGAGAAACTGCAGTTCATGAACAGGTGGTCCCTGGTTTCGATCATTTGTCGATGCTCAAATGATATATCATCATGTAAAAAGAATCACATATGATATAGCAAAACTGTCTCTTCTTCTTTCTATAGTTGTAAATCGTTATGGAAGTGATGTGTGGTGGTGGATTCATTTTCTTCTATATTAAGATGTGTGTTTGCGTATTCAAGGATCTGATGGAGGTAGTGCAGTCAGTGTTCACCAAAGAAAATGGTAATGGGTGCCTAATATGTGGTTCCATATGCCAAGTCGCAGGATTAAGTGTACATGATAAGATGTACAACAATAGAGCATTTTCGTTAACACTTTTCTTCTCAAGGTTGTGAACGATGTCTTCCATGGTTTACTCGCTTTATAATGCATAGCCGCAGTCTTTTGCTAAAGGCCT